TTACTTTCACCCCAATTATCGTTGACTAGGTAATTAGAGTACTATTTCCATCTTGCAAACGTAAATTGTCTCTTAGTTTCTGAATCAGTGTAACAAACATCCATTAAATAACGAACGTCATCCATTAAAGAAAGTTGTAAGAAGTTATGATTTTTTGCCGCACAGTATAGTATGATATATAGGACCTAACTGATTAATTCCTAACTCTTAGCGAGGTCAAGTTATTTTTTATGGGTTAGGTTACTAGCCTACTATTTTTCAATGTTTTGACAAATTTCCTTGCGGTTTTATTAGCCCGAATTAAATTAGGTATAAAGGATAAACATCAGTCGTATGTAGGATACAAATATACGATTATAGGAATGCTATATATCTAGCTAGCTATACCTTTTGCAGCCTTTCTCTTCGTGTATATAGGTGAGGTTAGGAGGTTTGGTTCCCTATGAACCTCTCTTGTATATAATCGTTCGTATCTTTAGCTATAAATACAGAGAGGTAATACTCTTACTTCAAGGTAGCCCAAATGGATCCAAACTTTTAGATGTGTTAACTTGGGTTATGTCAAAATCAATTAGCATGCCTAAAAACATCTCAGCCTAACACGCATTCAAGAGTTAGACGAGTTAATTATCCCTGGTTAAATTTGACAATACCTAATTCAAGCGTGGGACGACTAGATGATCAATCAAGTTTTATTTGATTGTGTAATATCGTTTAACAAAAATATTAAATTAATAAGTAGTATTAACTAGATTAAAAGTAAGTTACATGTGCTAAGCTAGATCACAAGTGAACTAGAGTATATAGAGATATAGAAGCACAAACACACACAAATCACAGCGCATGGGGCCTAAACTAATTATATTACACAACACACAAAGACGAAATCCTCAAACCACATATAGGTAGCTAGCGCAGGACTATAGCTGGTAGTACTTCCTTGACAAGCTGAACACTAGGGTAAGTTTTTCCTCTGCCACCATTTTCAACATTTCCTCTTAGCCCCATTCTCCTTCCACCAACTCTTGAAGAAGCACTCTCTCTTCTGCCACCAGCAACATTAGTCTCGTCCAAACCATTGACCATACCACCCGTTGGCGGCGGCCGCCTCGTCTTTTGGAAGCAATTACCATCACCAAACACGGCCATTGACATCATTGGGATAGACCCAACTGCCAAGCCTAACATGAACGACGCCCCTGTACCCTGAAGCATGATTAGTACTTCATTAATATCAGAAGCCTGCCTATACGAAAAATCAAATACTTAACCAGCAAAGTTTATATGGAAAATCAAAGTGATCTTAACCTAGTGTATATATAGAAGTTTTAACTTGATTCAAATTGGCTCCTGTAAGCCTGACATCATATGTCATGAGTGTATAATTCATTATTTTTAATGATTAATGCTCTTTTCCATGACACGATTTAAAGCTTATTCTAAAACATTTTTGAGAATTTCAAAGTTAGACTTTAACATGAAAGGGCCTTGTGCAATATTTAAATCTTGGTTTCTCGTGTTGGGAGCTATTCTATTTCTTGAAAAGTTTTATTCTATTTATGAAAATGAAAGACCAAAGACCGGTCTTTACTTGGATTAATTGTGCTGTATCATTCTTTGTTCATCTTCTTACGCTACATTTTCTCGATTGCGTATAGTATAAACCAAGAAAACACTACTAAAAACTATTTGATTATCCTACGCATGGCTTATATGTTCATTTCAGCTCTTTCTAATGCAATTTCTAGGAGGTCATCGACTCATCGTGAATAATTGGGATATTTGGCCCATGGCATGCACCAGATTCCAGAATATGCATGTGGACAAATTAGTGCCACCATAAAATAGTTAGGCCGCTAGTTAAAAGGTAGGATCGCTAATCTGTTCCCATCTGAATTGACCCCAATCATTTTCAATTTCCTTCAACCTCAACCACACTGCCTACTAGTTTTCAGGCCGTAAATAAAATACAATACCTTTTTTGAGTCAAAGATAAGACAGAGTTACACTATGACGGCCACTCTCCCTCATACTAAGATGTTATTCCTATCTCCTTGTAATTTTAAGGGGTCTCCTAATTCTCGAGTGTTCGATAATTTCAGCCATTCTAGGTTTCACTAATATTGCAAATTCTTCAGTAACATATGGAGTATTATATTACTTATATAATGTCCAGAAGGTAATAGCCAACAGGGCCCATTAGCTCAGTTGGTTAGAGCGTCGTGCTAATAACGCGAAGGTCGCAGGTTCGAGACCTGCATGGGCCACAATCTTGTTTTTTATGTTTTTTAACTTCTGTCCCAAATATTTGGGGCATGATAAGGCTATTTTAACCTTTGTTGGATAAATCCATTTCAGAGCTGTCTTCCAAAGAAATTTTGCAGAATCAACAATTTTCATCCTTCTTTTTTGCACATGAAAAATGAAACCCACCATTAAACCTCTCAGCACTCAATTCTTACTTTTACTGCTTCTTCTACTGTTATCGTCAAGCGGGTTTACTTCGGGAGATCCAATTCGAAAGCCATTGAGTAGTAGGAGAAACCCAAATCGGGTACCTGAATGCGGCAATATTGGGTCGAAATCTGATTGCTTGCAGAAGCAAGATTGTCGATGGTGTAAAAGTGATGTTCTTGATGACGCTTGTTTCTCTAAATCTGAAGCTTCTAGATTACCCTCTCAGATCTTCAGTTGCCATGTTGTTAGATTGAGATAAAAGTTGAGAAGAAAAAGTTACCTTTTTGTTTTTAGTTTTTGTTTTTCGATTATGTTCTTTTTCCCCCCACGAATTTTGAGTTTTTGGGTGAAGTTCATTTGAGGTGTTATATGAGTATGTTTCTGTGATATTAGCAAAATTTGGGCCTATCATTCTGCTTAGAAGAAGTAAAAGATATGATTTTGTATACATTGTGTTTGAGCGTGAAGGAATTGAGTGATCTTTTCTAATATAGTGTACAGACCAGTTAATTTGCAATAATGAGCTTGTTAATTTTGGATGGCATATTTGTCTTTGCTATTAGTCTCAATGTTTTTGAATCAATATAGACAGATTAAATTAATGTTCTGCTTGAGGTTTAAAAAGGGTCACTGATTCAGTAGCTGTTGTAGTCAACCATATTTATTGAAGCCAGAGCTGCTCTGTGTGATTTCTGATTTTCAGCTTTGCATTAGATGGTTTTGTACATGATTTAGTATTTAGCCAGTTGACAGTGGTGGAGAAGCAAGTATGGAAGGAATGGGACCGTGTAAGTTATGAGTGCGGAATGAGCTTTTCTTTATAGGTGGCATTGTGTGGATGGGGTCAATGGGCGAGAAGCCCCATGGCCTTGGATGGTGGCCACCATTGCCATTGTGGATGACATCGGGGTAGAGTGATCATGTACGAGGCATCTTCTGAATATCTCAGAACTCCCATTGTTGTCCCTTTTGAACCATCTGAAAGATCCGTTAACCTTAAAGTAATAAGTTAGAACATGATTGACTTATTTCCTAATGAAAATGATTTGTTGAATTGATGCTTAAGTAGTAGACAGAAAGGAGTTCAGGTATGTGATTGACATAGTACTGGAGAAGGGGGAGGCAATGCTACTGGGGCGAAGAAATCTTTTTCTCCTGTTTTGCTCAGAAAGCATATCCACCAATGAGCTGGCCATGATTTTCAAACATAGGGTTTTGTAAGGAGATCGACAGTCACTAGGTAGGCAAAGTTTAGTTTCAAGAGCTTGAAGATTCTTTCGCAGCTAGTTAAGAATCATCCTGAAGCTCTGTGCCTTCTCCTCCTATGTTTGTTCTACTAAGTTTTTCCTTGCATATCCTAGGAGCCAAGTATGATGTTAGCTTTTTTCAGAGACTTCTTAAGTACCAATCTTTCCCACCTTGGATTAGGAATCAGCTTCTATTTTAGACTCTAGACCATCATTCTGATGGAAAGGTTGTTCCTTTCTATTTAGCAGTTAACTATACTTGCTGATTTTATGTTTCCTTCACAGCAATTCACCAGAGTTTTTGGTGATATCATGTGATGGTAGTCGGTAGTGAGTGAAAATGAATGTTTTTACAGTCAAATCCGCTATATGTCCCCCATCCACAGTTTGCTGGTTATGCAGAATTAGCAACTCGAAGAAGTGGTATTAGAGAGAACGTAATGAGTTTAAGGATTATGAATGACCTTATGAAGAAGCTGCAAGGATTAGCTTCTTTTTAATTCACAATCTATAACTGTGAGAAAGAGATTCATCTGAAGGTTGTTGTGCATGCAGCAGGTCTTTTGATTTAAGAAGTCTTCCTCTAACAAGTTGGATCCACTTGTTAAGTGAACTGTCTGTTTATGCTGGTTACACAAATGACCTTGATGGGGGAAAACTGGAACATACACTGACCTCTTAGACAAGCAATTGTTTGCATTTGAACGAGGGTGAAGTTCGAAGTTGATTCAAGCTACAACCATGTATTCTAGAGAGTTAATATGACTTCATTTTCTCTCTCACACACATGCAACCCTAAATGAGTGCTGAATTATACTATTTGCGTCCTCTAATGTCTGTTTATATGCAAACAGATGTCGACAGCAATTGGGAAAGTTAAGAACTGCGTTGAAATGTACTTATAATTTGATGAAATTACAGCAATTGTCAAGTTAAAAGCTACTCTAGACCAAGTCACCAGGAGAAGTTGAACTTTGTGAGCAACGCAATTGTGGGACTGACGACTGTCATATTACTTGTGCAACAGTTCTCATAGTTTCTGATTCTGTATAGAATGTATATGAAACTGAATAGAGATGCATAAATATAGAAAATTAAATCCAGCAACTGAGTGGAAATCTATTAAACTTGGAACTCTTGAATGCACAATGCTAACTGCTCTTATCAATTTGTAAAGCCTCAATTACTAAGTTTGGCAGCTTTTGAATTCAACATCAACAACAGTAAGTTTACTTCAACCTTACTATTCAAGAATCCTTCTACCATTGTTTGGAATTTTGCAGAAAGATCTGATGAGGAGAACAAAAGAGGACACAGTTTACCACTAAACTTTTCCAAATTGTATACAGTTCCCAATTTCATTTCTCATTTCCAATTGAACACAAAAGTGTTCAACCTATTACATTAATCCTCCAGAAAAAAGGAACCAAATAAATGCAAATAAAAAGTAAATTAAGCATAAAAAATTAAAAAATCAAATCAGATTTCCACTGATGCGTATTCTTCTTCAGCAGCAAGATAAACCTTCACAGCATCTCTCATATCTTCAACTTCAACACATCCATTAAGGAACTCAATGAGCTTCTTGAGCTCCCCATCACCAAGATCATCGGTAAATGGCCTAATCGGAATAGCATTTTCCGGCTGAAAAAGGTAAGAATTCGGGTTATCATCAACGATCACCACTCTCTTCATATCTCTCCCCATATCAGACAAGTCCTTCACAAACTTCCCATCAACTTCCTTGCAAGAATCCCTATACAATCGATGCGAAATCAAACCTTTTCTGTCTATTCTATCAAGAACAAGAGAAGCATACTCCTTAAGCCCAGCAGTGAACACAACAACCTCAAACTTCTCACTCAAAAACTCTAACAACTCATCCACAAATGGTCTCTTCAACACATAGAACTCTACTCTATGTCCATCAATCACCGGCCTAACAATGAAATCGTACTTTTCTGGAGGTGGGTTTGGCTTAGAATGCACTAAAGTCTCATCCAAGTCAAGAAAAATGGTTTTTTTATCACGTGACACCAATGGGGGAAGGGCATTTCCGCCATCAAAAAGCGATCGCCTCAGATTGTCCCCATTTGCTGCAGATTCATCAAAAACTTTACCAAGAAGCTGATATCCTTGTTTTTTGGGAGTTTTCTTAGGAGTAGCAATGCGGGTGAATTTCGAAAAGAGTTTAATAAGACGGCGATGACAAGTGTACAAGGATTTGTTAATGGATGCAACAACTACAGAAGCTGCATTTTTAGCTGATGGGGATTTCTTCTTGCTACGGCGAAGATGGCTCGGGAGATTTCTACGATTCTTAATGGACTTTGTGGGAGTTCTTTTGATGATTTTAGACACCATTTTTCCTTATTTTTGGAGAAATGTAACGAGAGAGAATAGGAGCTGGTGATTTCTTGAATTCTTTTCAGCTTTCAAGCAGTTGTAGGAGTTGGTGAGATTTTGAAATTAGGTTTGGTAGCAACGGTCCATTTTTTCTTTGGCTCGGAACCGAAGCTAAGATGTCTTCTATATTGTTTGTATTTTACACAGAATATATTAAAGGAGAAAATTAAATTTATGGAAAGAAAGTGAACGTTGGCAAAATATTTAAGGGCTAGACAGCTGTCAATGTTTTTTGTTCAAAAACTTATGGCGGGACTTGTCTTAATAACCCAGCATACTTTCTGCGAACAATTTTGATTCTTTTCTTACTTTGAGATTGAACCTTAGATTGTAGTATCAATTTTTGTGCCCTCGGAGTGACGGCATGTAATTTCTTTTACACAATCAAGTTAACATGTTCTGAATTATTGGTGTTCAAGTGCATTATTTATAATTAATTAAAATGCATTAATAGGTAAAATTACTGTGCTGGAGTTTCGACCAAGACCATATATTTGTATTAAGAAATTCACTTAGTATATACAAATAATTTATCCAGAATACGGTAAACAAATAATTTATTAAGGCTTTTTATGGCAGGAGCATTTCTTTTGGTGCTAGTTGGCTTCTCATCATTACTACACATGTTTTATAGTTTTCTTAATTTCTTTCTGTATTATATACTTTAATTTCATCCTCTACACTCTGTTTAAAGGGCAGATCAGTGGACGGACCATGTCGCATTTACGCAGAGTCTGGGGAAAGGTCGCATCCAAAGGGGTGTGATGTAAGTAGTCCATCATAATGCAAGCACTAATGGCCGATTACACGGCTCGAACGCGTGACTTATAAATCACACAGAGATAACTTTACCGTTGCTCCAAAGATCCCTTCATAAAAATACGAAAATTTAATAGGTAATTTAGCTCATGACAGCTAAAATTTACTTTGTTGAGGAGACAATGGCATGTTTAATTGTCTTTTCTGGTTTTGAGATGCATACAACGGAATATTATTGAGCATAGCTTGATTAGATGTTGATTGGTTTTATCTCGTTCTCGTAAAGTATGATCAAATATAGTGGAGTAGCATTTTGGTTAAAAATACTGATAGTGTAAAAATTCTATTAGGTGGTTAATATACCCTTGGCAGTTGTAACAGATTATTTGTACTTCTTTTTTCTTAGAGTTACTAATTTACACTTACTATAATCTGTTAAATGAATTTCAGATTATGCTAGATTCCTATCCTTATGAATTACAAATTTTCTCCAGTCTAGTTTAAGACCTCTTGCCAAATTCTCCATACTTTCTTGTATCGTTATTCCTATGCTAATACTTTATTTCATTTTATTGTGTGTATTGTATACATATAATATACACTTCTTGACTAGCGAATGCAAATTAATTTCCACCGACATGTCAATTTTGTATTTTGCTGTAAATTTATTTCAATGCTTATCAGGTTATGCAGTTTATTCTTCTGTTCAATTGTATTTTCTTAAATGGGGTGGTGAAAAAGAAGAGAATGGGGGGGGGGGGGGTAGGGGGGGAGGGAAGCATGATATAAAAATACAAAACTTATTTTTCTATGCTGTCTCTGTCTTTTGGTGAACCATCTTTTTACAATTTATAATAGATATTGACAATCACTTATCTTTTGTTTCCATTAACTGACTATGATAACTGATAATTCACTTGCTTAATTCTGCCATACATGACCAGTGGACAATCATATAGTGTCATCTAATTTTTTTTTAACAGTTTCTCGTATTAGTTGTTTTATTCAAGACAAAGAAAATTGTGAGGACACATATAAAATATAATAAACGTAGTGATAAACATATATACTGTTGCGCGGCGCCTTCCTGAGATTCCTTGGAAGGGCGACGTAAGGCTAAGCAACTGATGTCAGTGCAGTTACTGTCCGCCAACTGAGGTCCCCTCCGTACGCTAGACTAGATTGTCAGTGTCGTACGAGAAAACCAATGTCAAGAGCAATTGAGAGAACAGAAATAAGAATTGAGGATGAAAGAAAGCTTGATTGCATTAATGAAAGCTATTACAGAAAAGCAACGCGGTGTCGAGGGGGAGAGACACCAGTACAGAGAATTGCTTACTTGCTAGAAAGTTTGATTGCTTGATCCCCCCTAATAATGCTTAAAAAAAAATAATCCAAAGCTACAAAACTAGACTTGACTAAGCTAGATAAACATAATGGAAGTACATGAAATAAAACTACTCTATATTTACAATGAAAATGACTTAGGTTTCTATAAGGCAGCAGCAGTGTCTTTGGCATCATGGTCTGCGCGCGCGGCATTGTCTGCGCGCGCGGCACTGTTGGCATCTGTCTGCGGCTTGGCGCTGGCGAGGGATATCGGTGGGGCGACAGAGGCACCTGCGCGTTTGTCACTTAGCGCGGCCAAGACCACGGGGCCGTCCGTGGCGCTAGGCATTAGGAGGCTTGCTAGGACGCCACGCGGCGCACCCAAGGGGTCATGGGGCATGGCTGGAAAGCCGCCCATGACATTCTCCCCCACCTGAGTTGGCGACGTCCTCGGCGCCTTACTTGCAAAATAATCTTCAATGAGGCTCTTGTAGGCTTTGAGGTTTGTTCCCCTCTCCCAAGTATTCTCTTCTACATCACAGCCCTGCCATTTCACCAAGAACTCTTGGTGATCTTTCCTTGAGGCATGAATCACTCTGTTATCAAGGATGGCTTCAACACGCCTTTTTCCGGTTGAATTGGGACCTCGAATACTGGGTATTGTAAGCTGGCTCCTTGAAGGATCCTCCATGTCTTCCCAAAAAGGTTTCAGGAGACTGACATGGAAGACCGGATGAATTTTTCACCAAGCTGGGGTATCCACCCGGTATGCAACTTTCCCAATGCGCCTTTCAATGGACAAGGGTCCAATGTATTTTTGCAATAGGCAAGGGTCATGGACCCCCGCAAATAAGTACCGCTTTGGGATTTTGACCATCACTTTGTCTCCTACTTGATATTCAACAAAGCGACGATTCTGGTCAGCATGCCTCTTCATCCGCTTTTGAGCTTTGACAAGATAGCTCCGCACTATCTCCAGATTCCGCTTCCACTCTTTTGAGAAGCTAGCAACTCGAGGAGACTTAGCCATGTTTGGTGCATTCACAGTGTGTGGGAGTAGAGGTTGTTGTCCGGTAACAATTTTAAAAGCGCTTTTGTTCGTACTAGAGCTCTTTTGCGAATTGAAACACAGTTGAGCAGCATCCAGAAGCTTCACCCAATTCTTCTGCGATCCGGTTACAAAATGGCAGAGATATTCCTCCAACATATCATTGAACCTCTCCGTCTGGCCATCAGACTGCGGATGAAAACTTGAGCCGTGGCTCAATTTTGACCCCAGTCACTTAAAGAGTTGGGTCTAAAAGTTGCTAGTGAAGCGTGTGTCGCGATCACTAACAATGTCTTTGGGCAGGCCCCAATATTTGACGACATGAGAGAAGAAGAGTCGAGCTGTATCTTCTGCTGATATATATTGAGGGGCTGCAATAAAGGTGGCATACTTGGAAAACCGGTCCACCACAACCAAGATAGTTGTGAGATCTCCGACCTTGGGCAATCCGATGATGAAATCCAGGGAAACGCTTTCCCAAGGTCTCTTTGGGACAGCTAGTGGTTCCAAGAGTCCCGCTTGTGTCAAGCGGTCCGACTTGTCTTTCTGGCATACTAGACAAGTCTTCACATACTGAGCGACATCATCGTCCATTTGAGGCTAATAATAGGCACGACGAAGTAACGCCATGGTGCGTTCTTCACCGGGATGGCCGACCCACAGAGTATCATGACATTCCGCTAGAAGAGTCCTCCGCAAATCTCCTCCTTTAGGAACATAAAGTCGGTTCCCTTTCACTTTCAGAAAACCATCTTCCATGTAGAACTGGCGAGTCTTGCCCTGTCCTACCAAATCAACCAAATACTGAGCAGCAGGATCCTTGATGAGTAGATCCTGTATCTGGTCCTTGATGGATGTGGCTACTTCGCTCCCCCTTAGGGTGGCGAGTAGGCACACCGATGCAAGATCAGCTCTCCGACTGAGCGCATCAGCAACATGATTGGTCTTTCCACTGCGGTATTCTAGGTTGAAGTGGAATTCAGCTAGGAGTTCCTGCCACCTGGCCTATCGACCATTCAGCTTCGGCTGGGTCATGAAATGGCTGACAGCTGTGTTGTCTGTCTTGATCACGAACGGGGTTCCCAGCAGATAGTGCCTCCAAAGGCGCAAGCAGTGGACGACAGCCAATAATTCTTTCTCATGGGCGGCATAGCGCCACTCTGCATCCTTCAACTTTCGTCTCTCGTACGATACAGGGTGTCCTTCTTGTAGCAAGACTCCGCCGAGGGCATAGTCAGATGCATCCGTTTGTACCTCGAACGGCTTGGCCAAATCAGGGAGGGCCAAGACGGGGCTACTAGACATAGCCGCTTTTAATGCGTTGAAGGCCTCCGCTCTCCTTGGTCCCCAATCCCAAGGTGTGACCTTCTTGAGGAGTTCTGTCAATGGCACTGCGATAAGGGAGTAGTTATTCACAAACCACCGGTAGAAGTTGCATAGGCCAAGGAACGCCCTCAATGCGTGGACATCCTTAGGCGGCGGCCAATCTGTGATGACCTGAATTTTCTGTTGGTCCATCTTGATGTGTCCTTCCTCGATGACATGTCCGAGGAAGTCAATTTGCTTCTGAGCAAAGGAGCACTTGGATAACTTTGCATATAGTTCATGCTCCCGCAATCAAGCTAGGACCTTCCGTAAGTGCACTAGGTGTTCTTCCAATGTCTGGCTATATACCACAATGTCATCTAAGTAGACCACCAAATTCGTCGATGTACTCTCGGAAGACTTGGTTCATGAGAGTGCAAAATGTAGCTGGGGCGTTGGTCAAGCCGAACGGCATGACCAGGAAGTCGTACGACCCATATCTTGTCACACATGTCGTCTTGTGTTCATCACCCTCTGCAATCCGAACTTGCCAATAACCTGTCTTCAGATCTATCTTGGTGAACACCGTCGCGCCACCCAATATATCAAACAAGTTTGCCATTAGAGGAATAGGGTACTTGTTCTTCACGGTGATTT